AGAATCAGGAGCGAGGCATAGAGAAATAAAGTCCTACGTTCAGGGACAGGAGGAGATGCCTGTGCTCTGAGCAGCTTGGGGATGGGTCCAGTTAGAGGAATGTGGGGACAGGAGAGGTGACCAGCTGGCAACATGGGTCCAGACAGGATCCTGCCCAAGTGACGGGGACCAGGGGAGGTGGGGTTTGGGCAGAGGAAGGCTGAGACCCAACCTGTTTGACACAATTAACCTGGCTGTGGAGCCCGGACGAGGCACACAGAGCTGGTCATGGAAGCAACAGGGGTCTGTAGCTGCACCTGGACTTCTCGGGAAAGACACCTGGTTGTCTGCCGAGCTCCGCGGCTGCTGGTGACACTCATGTCTGGGAGCCTGGATGTCCAACCCCTCTAGCAGCTCTTCCTGAAGGCACAGGGCTTGTGGATTCTGCAGCCGCCTGCTGCCCACCCACATCATCATCACAACCAGCTCCATCTTTCATGACTTGGGCCTCACACAGTGGCCTGATGACCCAGCAGGACAGAATGTTGGGCTCCTTAATCCTAAGGGGAGGCGGGGAGTGCAAAGGCTGAACAAGCATCCAGGGAAATGCGGGGAGGGCCCTGGCTGCCCACTCACCAGCAAGGCATCTTCCAGTGGACACCCTGGGCAGGTCTCTGCTCTCCAGGGACATCAGTGGCAAACTCGGAGACTAAGTGACTGTGCACAGCAGAGCACTGGGATGACCTTGGCAGTGCAGTTGCAATTCTGCCCGGGGACTCAGGCTCCTGCTTCTTTGCTCCTTCTGCAATTCCTAACATGGTGGTTTGCCAAAGAGGACAGAGGCTGGGTGGGTTTGGCTGGTTAAGTTAGCTCCATGCCTAGCTAAGTCGAGAAATCTCTTAAGGAGCACCAAATGCACCACGCCTGGGAGAAGTGTGGTTTCTGTGCAGGTTTCTGTAGCAGATTAGCTCTGATCTGAACAGATGCACTTATCTAGTCCTCCTGATTTCTGCCTCTAATATATGGCTGGGAATTCTTCTGTTTGTGTAAAACAGACTGTCTAGAACATGCGCATGATTCTGCCAAGCCACAAAGATCTAAGAACAAAAAAATAAAACACTCCCTCTCTCAACTCTTACAAAGTGAGTATGGCACCTTGATGGCACACAAATACCAACCATTTTCCTTTCAAATACAACCAAATTCCTTTCTCCTTCCTTTCAACCCCGCTCAGCCACAGTGACCTTCAACACTCCACCATCCACTCTGCTGCCACCTCCTTCAGAGCTCCCTGTGCTCCGACCTGCTCGCAGCTCTGCCACGCTATCTCATGGTGCTGTACACCAGCCTCCTGGGCGGGTCCTGGAAACAAAGGCACCTGTAGTCTTACACCGAGTCCTCAGTGGTCTGTCACCACACGACCTCTCCAGCTGCAGGGTGCAGGGTCACTGTGCAGCTAAGATGCAGCTGACCAGAGGAGGAGGAGGTGCTGAGGCCCGAGAGGGCTTTTCCCCACCGTCCTAACCTGGCTGGCGTGCAGAGGAGCGGCCGAGTGGAGTCAAGCCTGAGCCGGTCTGTGAGGAGGAAGAGGTACGCTGCCCTTTCCACCTGCGGCCAGACTGTCCTGTGGAGCACCTGGATGGTCTCACACTTGCCAAGTCCACAGAAAGGGACCAAGCCTGAGAATTCCGCTTTCCACCCGACCATCATTCATTGAGTCCCCGCAGTACGCTGGGCGAGTGCCAGTGGTCTGGATAAGTGATGGCAGGACCAATTCCAGCCACCACTCACCAAAGCCCTCCACAGGGTGTGCGGCAGATAGCAGGGACTCAGCTTAAAAATGCAGCTGAAAATATATGCAAACCCAGAGATCCTGGTGACCGGGAACACTGTGGCAAACCAGTTTCAATGTAACTGTAACAGTAGATTTTATGGTGACAGTAACCACAGGGGTGAGATAGAGAAGTGATCATGCAAAACATGATGAATTCCAAGAACAAGAGCACTGCTACGGTCCTGCGCGGGACTTGACCTTGGCAGAGGTGACCAGTGGCCTATCTCCTCCCACAACAACCCACACTCTGAGTCACTGCTCTGCCACAGGGAGGACTGCCCTGGCACAGAGCTCCTGGTCAGATTACCATCCCTCTCCTTGAAGAGTCACTAGGAACAGCAAAGGAGCATCCACCTCATCTGCACAAGGGCTTCCTAGAGTTCTGTCCACTGACTTCCTGCTGCCCCCAGATGCTCAGGGCTGGGATTCTCCATGCGCCAGTGTCCATGTCATTGGCTGAATAATTCAGGGGGAGGGGTGTCCTGTGTGGTGCAGGGCACTAAGCAGCATCCCTAGCCCGAACATGCCAGTGCTAGTGCCATCTACTGTCCCGTCTGCTGTGATGACCAAACTTTCTCCCCCACTGCCAGTGTCCCCAGGGTGGCAAAATCACCCCACGATGATGACCTGGTCACAGCGGTCCTGTTCAGCTGCCATTGCTGCATCCTCCTTCCTGCTCCTCCCCCAGGGGCTTCTGAGTCGCTTTTGTGTGAGATGAGGAGGACGCCCTGTCCGGCCTGACTGGGTTCTTTCACAACAAAGCAGGTCCCTGGTCATCCATGAGCCATGAAGGACTTGGACGGCTGCATTTGTGACCCATTCCAGTGGCTACTGAGAGTGGTGAATTCCAGGGACTGAGCCTCAGGACTTTGGCTGAAGGAGGCCCAAGCTGCATGCCAGGTGTCTGCCTGCTGTGTCTCTCCATCCGTGTGACAGCAGGAAATGCACTGAAATGTGCTCCAAGCCGTTCCCTCAGGAGCAGATGCTGCTACTCATTGACCAGTCAGCTGATGAGGAAAAAGCTAAAAATACTTCCATTACTTTCTACCTAGAGAATGTTGAAATGAGACACAACAGCCCCCTGAAATCTGCTAATGCAGTTTGGTGACAAAGAAGCGCTGTTGCCACAACACGGCCAACTCTGCCATCTCTGAAGGCGGCCAAGAGCCCTGAGCTATGCAGACTGTTGCCACTGCACAGGGCAGCTCAAGTACACTTCTGAAGTAGCTCTGCATCCTTGGGACAGTGGCCCCGTGCTGCATGTTGCCCAGAAGCCCAAGGTCTCTCCATGATCTTGTTCCTTCCTGCTTGGGTTGATTTCAGCATCTTGCAGACAGATGACGACCCTCCGAGTCTCAGAAAGAAAGTGGGAGACCCCTTTATGTCCACCAGCTGAAGTGGGCCTGGGAGCTTCAGGACTTGCACAAGGGAAGCAGGAAGGCCTGACTGCTGCTTCCGCGGTCAGCAGGAGCCACAGTGCCTGGCTGCTCTTAGGGAGCGAGGGGGGAGGGAGGGTTGTCACAGATTCCACAGGGACGGGCTCAACATGGTCCTGGGACCAAGTCATAAGCACTTTAACAAAGCCGGCTTCAGACAGCCTTTGCATGAGAGCTGGACGTGGGAATGTTGGCGAGAACACGCCACTGCCCTAGACAATGGGGGCTTCTCTGCAGGGGCACAGAAGGCAGCTGACTACTTGGGGCTATAGAGTGTGACAATGGGCTGTTTCTCTGTGCTGCTGTCAAGGGCAGCTGTTCCTAGGAAGGCTGAGCTCACGGGGGACACAATCTGAATTTCTATTACAAATGACCCACACAGAAAATTCTGAGCCCATGTAAGCTCACCAAGCATAAGGGAAACACATTTCAAAGCATAAATGACATTCCCCTGCCTACAGTGGAACCCAGGTCTCCAGGGCCAGCATGCATGTGTGCCTGGCAGGCACTGTTCCCGTTCTCCCACGAGCTCCTGCTGTGGTTAGTGGAGGGCAGGAAAGATGAGTCTGCCAGGATCCAGACCCCAGGTGCACCGGGCCCAGTGCCTGTGCTGTGGCAGGATCTCCAGGGCTGGGCGCTCTTTCTCCTGCCATAGGGTGCTTCCCAGGACTTCAATCATGACACACTCCTCCCTGCAACTCTCCTCCACGTGCTCAAGGCCCACCAGCTGGACTCACAAGGTAATGAACTGCTGCTCATGGTCAAAGTCTCCTATTTATGTGGGAAATCAAAGATCCATTTGCCAAGGAGACACAAGTTCCTGAGATGTCCTGGCTGGTGTCCTTCTCCTGGGCTGAGCATTTTCACAGTCTAGGAAGCAAGGAGCAGGTGTCCCCAGGGAACAGGCATGCTACCCTGAGCAAGTGCCTCCAAACCTCGGCTTTCACAAGACAGCAGTGGAGCTGTGGGCAAGAGGGGCGGTCAGGGCTGTCCAGAGTGAGGGCAGGACCGGGGTGGGCAAAGTCACTCCCATCCCAATCCTGCTGTACCCGTAGGCTGTCTCACCCAGATGCCCTTTGTAGAGTTGGGCAGTATCAGGAGTGACAGAGTGGTAAGGAGCCAGGATGGTGCTGGTCATGGTGGCAAAGGCTTGACCTTGTTCCTCAAGAGCCTTGAGGGGAAATGGTGGGCTTTAATGAGTCTTGAGATCTCACAGAGACAATTATAATCACTTGTTGCAAATAGTGGTTCTGATTTTAGCAGGAAGCTTTAGCTTTAATCCAAATTTTACCAACCAGAAAACTGCATTTTGGATTCTAAAATCAAATACTGAATCTAGCAACAATTACAGGGACTTCTTGTCACCGTGGAGAGGTGCCTGTTGGATTACAGGCCATGCAATTGCTACTGTGTGCTCTCTTGACAGTCTGGAGTGAACCCACTAGCTCTCGGCTTACAGGTTGTGCATATGTTGTCTGTCTCCCTTGTCTCTTGGATTGTTTTGGTGGTTGCACCTTCCTTCCTTCTCACTTCCTCTCTCTTTCCCTCTTTCCTTTCTTCCCAACTATATGTTGCATATAACTGAAAATATGATCTGCAAAACAAGTTTTTAATGGCTGACCCCACATCAAAGTGACTGGGACTCCAGCACGTTGGAGCTTAGAACTGCAAGCAAGGAACACTGTCCAGGCTCCTGAGGTCCCACCAGGTCTCGCCCCGCCCCCGGAGGCTCTTCCCTGCGCTTGCCTTACCTTCACAGCGTACTCTGCGTCGGTGGCTTTATGCACACACCGCTTGCACACGGAGTAGGAGCCCACCCCAATGTCCTCCTTGATCTCGTAGCCATCGGTGAAGTGGATGTTGTTCCCGTGTAACTGCTGCAGAGGCCAAGAAGGGAGGGCCATGAGCACCCCTGTGCAAAGGCACGTGCAGCCTCCTGCACCCAGAGCTATGGGTGCAGGTGGAGAACCGGAGGGAAGAGGCCCAGGAGAAAAAGGAGTCCTCTGCCCAGATGAGAACTACGTAGTAAAGGTTCTGGATCGAAATCCCAACTTCCCCGGTGTCTTGGCCACACTGAACACATGGACACCAGATTATTCTGTGCCCACTGACCAGACATTTCTCTTTAAGATCTGAGATAATGGGCATCCAGAAGCAAAAAGGAAGATTTGCTTATAGATACGGCACATGGCTCCATCGCCTGTCCAGAGTGACAGCTGGAATCTGATGTCCGGGCCTCAGGGCGCCTGCTTCTGACCTCATAGGCAACCCCACCAGCACACTCTCATCCAAGACATACAGCCCCAACATGGTCACATCCAGTGTCCACCTCACATACACCACTGCTCTCCATAAGGGCAGAAGAGAATACTGTGGGATCCAGCCATCCACTTCCCTGAATAGACAAATTCCTAAATAAGGTTAATTCTAATTCTTTTTCAGAATTCTGAGCTATGGTTATATTTTGGAAAATTCTTTATAAAAATGTCCTCTTTCACCGACCTCTCAGAGACATGGTACCACTCTGTCCCTGTGGGACAGGTGACGTCCTTGCAAGGACAGCTGGTCAAAGCTGGCCCACCCACAGAAAGACAGGAGTGGGAAAGGCCCATTTCCTGCTTGAGCTGGCAGATCACACTGCTTTCTGGGCTCCGCAGGGCGAAGGTGCCCAAACCTGACCTGAGGCCCCCTGGCATACACCCACTGTGGCATTCTTCTGGAAGATGTGAGACAGAAACAAAAGCAACAGCTTGGTCTCCATGGGGATCATCATGGCCACGCTCAGTAACAACGGAAATGTGGGGGAAGACGAGGTGCCCAACACCACCTCCCACGAGCACTCAGCATCCAAGGTAACCAAGGTTCTCCAGCACCCCAGGCTGGCTGAGTCTGCAGGGGTTGCCAGAGCCAGGCATCAGCTGAGTGTCCTCCATGCCTGACCCCCCAGGGAGGATGGAGCTACCTGCACAATCGGGTGAACTGGAGCCTTGTGGAGGTCCTGCTGGGAGGGCTCCGGACCCAGGCTGGAGGCCACAAAACTGAATCCTCTAAACAGATGGTGAGCGTTGGCACTTGGGGGCACACCAGGAGAGTCTGTGGGTGAACAACAGCAGAGTTCAGGTTCTCGAGAGCAGTGAGCTTGGGAAGAAGGGACAGTGTACATGTACGTGTGTCATCTGTGCACAGAGGTCTGAAAAGCCTGGAGTCCAGGGAGCTACTTCAGTCTGGGAAGGGCCAAGGTCTGACTTTCAAATGACAACAACCATGTCTAGAATAAAAACGCCAAGGTCACAGCTGATGCACCTCCTCAACTAAGTATGCACCGTGACCCTCCCCTCTGCCCACCGTGGGCTGAGACAACACGGCCAACAACCCCAGGTAGGACTGTCGGGGACAGGGCGGCCAGGCCACAGGTGCCCCTGCAGGGATGCAGCCACAGAACCAGCACCTGTCGTAGTCCCAGCGCTCTGTTCCTGTGGGTTGGGTGTCATGGCCCTTCAAGGACACCTGGACAAAGTTGCTCTGGCCTCTGCAAAGCAGGAGTGTGAGAGGGCTCTTTCCTGTGTCTGCTTTTTCTAAGCTCTGCAGGATTTGTTCCAAAGCATGGCTGCTGAGGCTGGCCTCACTCCATATCCATCATTAGGAAAAACAAGTGGACAGTCTCAGCGATGTGGACCAGAGGGAGCCAGACCAGGTCTTAGCTCTGGACTCCTACCTCTTCAGAGTTGCCCCAGATAGATGGAGGCTCATGTGACTCCCAAATTAAGCGACCAGGGCTGACTTTTTGGAAATGAGCTCCCCGGGTGCTAGACTAGGGGAGCTCGCCTAAAGACGTGGCATGGCTTTTGAGTTTTCAGGTCTGAGGCTCTGTGCCCTGTGCAGAGGGCAGACAGCGACTCCCCCTGTAGACCAGCTGCCTCCCAAGGGCAGGGGGCCTTCAGAGCGATGGGCTCCTATCCCGTCAGTGTGCTGTGGGTTTTGTCTTTCTTTGAAAGTCATAGAATTCTGACTTTGAGGTCTGCTTCTTTTCAACGTCACCCTAGTTCCCTTGTGCTGCACTAAATCTCTACCAGAAAAAAGTGGCTTGACAAATGGATGCACCATAGGGTAAGTGACCTTCGAACCTCAGAGGCACATTAGCATTAGCTTCAAGAACCTGAGCCTCCTTTGGTTCTACTCAAGAACCTGAGCCTCCTTTGGTCCTACTCTGGACGCGCTGGGGATTTCTCTCACAGTAGCCTCAGGCTTCTCTGAACTAAGGTCAGTCTGGTTTGTTCCCTATCTCATGTCAGCTGCCCAAGGTCACGTGCAGACTGGTGGGAGATGCCAGTCAACGGGAATTTGTCAGAGCTGCACAAGGGTAGGGGCTGGGCATAGATCAGGGGTCTGTTTTATAGTGAGAGAATGTGTGTGTGTGTGTGTGTGTGTGTAGCCACATTATCTTGCAGGTGCACTTTCATCACTGAAGGGGAAATCTGCATCAGGTGAGCAATCACTTCTAATACAGTGGCATGAAGCACAGTGCTGTCCCTAAGTTGGCCACTTTTCTTTTCTGCACAGTACAGGACAGGCAGCAAAGGCTAAGAGCAGTCAGTCTGCTGAAGTTTTGGGTAGTCTTTACAAAAAGCATAAAAAGTTGACACTGATTGGTGTGGACAGACAGATGCTTTATATCATGTAAAGACACTGAATCTCAGCACAGTACTTAAAGAGCAAACATACAAGTTAGATAAAAGAAATTAAAAATTATAGATTCAAACAGTCTCAGGGAGTGTTTTCTGATCAGTGGCACATCTGATGGTTTTCAGCCCTTGACTGGCATCTCCCATCAGTCAGCACATGACCATGGGCAGCAGACGTGAGATGCAGAACAAACTAGAGGCTACTGGGAGAAACACCCCGGTGCGTCCAGAGTAGGACCCAAAGCTTTTCCCGAACCACGGCAGCTCTTGCACACAGCGAGCACTCAGCTTACCTGCTTAGAAAACCCCACCCTTTTACAGAAACAAGAGTGACATTAATGTTTCTCTTAAAATCTTCAGCATCAATTACTGCCACCTCAAGGGCAAATGGTGTGGCACGATAAATTAATTTTAAGTAGAACTGAATGGAGAATTAGAAATCGTGCGGAATAAAAAGCCAATTCTGAATAGTGCTGGAATGCACTGTGTCTGATTATGTTTTCCTTAGGTCAATATGAAAATAAAATTGAATTCTTTAGTGCATAAAGGGCTAAGAGGCTATGGCCACACTGGCCATCTGTGCTGGAGTTTAAATTCTCCAGGAGTAATGCAAAAGGCATACGCGGGAGTAATCAAGAGCCCACCAGGTCAGCATCTTCTGACCCCGAGGCCCAAGTGTGGTCTTTCCCACCCACAGGCGCCTCAGGACGCAGCACCGCCCTTCCCAGCACCGCCCCTCTGAGCACCACCCTACGGAGCAGGACCCTGCAGTCTGCGCAGACCCACAGAAGTCTTCTCCCACTCAGACTAAACACACGCCTGTCCTTCCACCTTCATGTCAACCACGCGAAGAAAATAGTGATGTGTGGGCAGAGGCAGGATGGAATCCCCAAACCCTGCTCCAACTTTCCCATCCTGGAAGCTAACAGCAATACTCTTCACCATGAGAAGGGCTGACCCCGGCATGCAGAAGGCTCCTCCTTCTTGGCAGCCTCATCAAATTCTGCAAGAACTATAGCCCCAAATGAAGGGCCACCGTCTCTCCAGCCAGTCACTGATGACAGCTTTGGGTGGCCCTGGGGACTCAGTGGAGTTATCAGGCAGAGTGGGCAATCTGGTCATGCCTCCCTGTTGTGATGCCCTGAGTCTACAGCCCCAGGCCCAAGAAAAGACCCTCTGAAGGCCCCAGTGTCCTCTCCCTCCACACCTGTGTCACACCTGCTCCGAGCCTGGGCAGTGGACAGGCCAGGATTTCACCAGCAGCCTGCACTCGGAGGGAACTAAGTGGATTCTCCATGCAGCTTTATCTACTTGTTACTTGCAGTTGATCATCTCTTTTTCATGATTACCTTTTAAACACCACAGAAATGTGGGGTTCCTAGGCAGGGGCAGCATGGTGACCTTGGCAGCCCTTCATCAGCCCCCATGCCTCACTGGTCACCCAGCAGAGGGGCTGGGAGCTGCTCTGCAGAGCTTCTGCCCACGGCTGCCAGGGCCACGCGTGGAGCTCCAGATGCAGGCACGGAAGCCCCAACCCTCAGGTCTGCATTTGGAGAAGGGCCTCTCTGGGGCAGATAAGGTTAATGATGTCACAAGGGTGGACCCTGACCCAAGAGGACTGGTGTCCTTAAGAGAAAGGGACACCAGAGCTCAGAAGCGGTCTCTACACACGGAGAAAAGGCCATGAGGAGACTGTGAGGTGGTCCTCCACAAGCCAGGGAGAGAGGCGCTCCCGGAACTTGACAGCCAGCCTCCAGAATGGACAGTCACCAGCTGCTGTTGAAGACATGTGCAGGGGTGTCCTGACAGCCAGAGCACACCAAGACAGTCACCACAGCTACCACACACACACCCGGCCATCCTCCCAGAATGACAACTCCTAAAGGCAGCCAACAGACACAACCCCAAACTAGGTTTATGTATGCCTTGGTATGCCAAGATGTAGCAGTGACACAACTTTTTAAACAGGCTTGTTTTCACATGAATAATAAATGTCACTCACAAACCCAGACTTAACTGACAGCCTCCCTCTTCCCACAGAAGACTCGAGAGGATGAGAGAGCTGCACTGTCCCTCCTGCCTGAGGGGGTGGTCACTGGCCGGCAACCCAGAGCCAGCAGCGGGGTCTACTGAAGGCCCTGATGATCGTCAGAGCATGCTCCCTGGGGAAGAGCAGAACGTTGGTTCTGTCACTTAAACCTTTACCACTAAGCCCAGGAGACAGAAAAGGATGACAGGAGGATCCTTGACACGGGAGCCCCTGGCTCTTGGTTCTCTGTCCTGGAAAAACGGCCGTGGCACCCACCTGTGGGCGTCCGTGTGGTGAACTCGGGGTCGAAGTGGAAAGTGTCCTCGGGCCTGCCCACTGCTGGTTTGAAGGGTGGCTTGATCTCCTTCCGGTACAGCTTCTGCAAGGAAAGCAAGGCCGTCCGAGAGCCCTCGCCTGCACCTGGGAGTGCTCTGCACACACCCCGCTCGAGCCCACGTCCTATCCCAAGGATCACACACAGCATGGTACACATGGAACAATTGCCTACACATCAAAATAAATATACAGAAGGCCAAGGCTGAGCTGTGGGGCTCGGGATGTGGGGTAGCAGTTTCCCAGCTTCTTTTTGGCCACAGGATTTTCATCTCCCAGTAAACCCTATAAGATGACACAGGTGCCCTGCCTGCATGGGTGACATCAGAGCTACCTCAGAGCCTGCCTGCAGCTCTGTAGGAACTCTGAAATCCATGGCCCAGTGAGGCCACATGGCCTTTGTCACCTGTGCCACCAATCGACTTCCCACCAACAGGCTGCTGTCTCCTCTAGAGAGGGCCCACTCCCTAAGCGTGTGCTCCCTGCTTGACCAGAGGCACCTCTCTTGAGATTGCTCCCACATTCCCTTGAGCTTGAATCTACCTCCCTAAGTAAACTTCGGCCCCTGGCTTCAGTGCACGCTGAATTTCTTTCCCGTCACATATGCCAAAAACCCTGCCAACCCCAAGTCAAGTTCCCCCTCCTCGCTGGGAATTCCTGGCCCTTCCGGAGACACATCTTCTGCCATGACATTCCCTGTGGCCTGTCCATCAACAGTGTGACTGTTCAGCCAGCTTGTCCTCCCTGCAGAGATCGCTGACATGGGCAAAGGTGGCTGTGTGTCCCTCACTCCTCCTTTGACAGGAGCAGGGGACAAAACATCCACTTCACAAGGAAATGGAAGCCCAGTGAACTCGGGCTGCCCAAGAATGCACAGTTCTTTGTGCAGCCAGCCTGACTGGCCAGACTCCTTACCTACCACACCTGAGGCCACTACCTCCCACCAGGCAGCCTGTGACCATGGCGGCTCAGGGGCTTCACACAAGGGGCTCCAAGACTTTTCCTCCTTTTTCCAGGAGGAAAAAGGATCCATCATTAGCAGGTTGCTACCCCAGCAAGGGGTGTACAGAGCCTCCTGTGGGTTGGGGTCATCATTCAGGGGTAAATTGGCTGGCCTGGTCACCTCCACCAGGCCCCTGTGCCACAGCATTTGGCAAAGCTTGTCCCGGGCTTTGTTCCATCTTGTGCCAACAACTTTCTCTTCTCTCTGCACCCTTTAAAGCCCAGTGCTGGAAGCCACCAGCAAGTCCCACTGCGTGCATCAGATCACAGAACCAGTGGCCTTGTAGACCTTGCAGGCTAGGTGAACATGCTGGTATCCACAGGGCAGCCTGCACAGCCTGCTCCCCTGCTCTCTCCAAACCTCTGCTGTGCACCACTGTTCAGTGGAGATCCTGACCCGCCCAGCCACAGGCAGGTGTGAGCAGCTGGGCACTTGCCCAAGGATGGGGCATCCTTGGTACAGCAGAGCCCTGCCATATCCATGGGCTGACCATGTCTGTGGACATATTGTGTCCACTGGGGGCCAGCACACCCTTCATCCCCTGTTGGTGCCACAGTTTCAGCTGGGTCTCTGCAGGCAGCAAGCCTTGCAAAGGCCAGGGGCTGCGTGGAGCAGGGCACACTGCCCTTCGGTGGCTTCCTGGAAGCTTGCTGCAATATAACGGTGGCTCCATTTCTTCCTGTTGCTGCATAAACATTCTGGAAGGTGCTAACGTGTTGGTCCTCTTTCTTTCCCAGATTCCATACCTGGGAAGGGCTTGAGGTTTTAGGGAGAGCAGCGATCTTGCCTCTGCCCCTGATGCAAGCTGCTGGGCACATGCCTGGCCTGCAGAGGAGCAGCTCCAGCATTCCCTAGACCCTGAGCTTGACGAGGCCCCTACATTCACCACACAGACCCAGACCCAGCCCCAGGATCTGGAACAACGCATGCCCACCCTAGGGAAGGAAAATGGGTGTCATGGTCCAATTCTCCAGGCACCATTTAAATACTCTTCTCTGTCCCAGGGCATCATGGGGACACAGATCTGGCCATGCGTCGAGGTGGATTCTGCATCCTGTGAGTATATGAGAGGAAACTAAATAGGTGCATTAAGATCCACTACCTAGGGGCTGGGGATGTGGCGGTAGCGAGCTCGCCTGGCACGCGTGCGGCCCGGGTTCGATCCCCAGCACCACATACCAACAAAGATGTTGTGTCCGCCGAGAACTTAAAAAATAAATATTAAAAATTCTCTCTCTCTCTCTCTCTCTCTCCTCTCTCACTCTCTTAAAAAAAAAAAAAAAGATCCACTACCTAAAGGACCCTCAGATAAGCAGGAAAAGGACAGAGGGAGTAAAATAGAAATGGTAACTGGCCAATGGGCAGGAAACTGGATCTCACTGGGGCCACAGACCCTGACATCTGCTCTGTGCACAATTTTGGCTCTAACATTTCAACATTAACATGCTCCAATAAGGTAGAGGGCACATCACGAATATGCAAGCAGATGAGGTGCAGAGTGGTGGCCTCAGGGAGGGACAATAGCAGGGCCTTACTGGCTTCCGCGGTGGGGCTGATGTGGCAGTGGTGTGCAGGGCATGGCCGGGCTGCCAGATTTACCCAGCTGTAAGCAAAGTGGATTTACAGACTACAGAACCACAGGGGATGACTCACTGCATGGAGTCCTTGTTGGTCCCTGGAAGAGTGGCCCTCCTAGAGTACTTGACCCAGGGACAAATGCATAACATTGTTCTGCTGGCAGCGGCAGCAGCCATGTGGAGACGTGTGGCTGAGGCCTTGTGCTGCAGCCCCCAGCCCGAGCCCTCTCTTGCACACTGCTGACAGCAAGACACAGTGGCCTGGACCCCCCAACCCAGCTCCTACCGAGCACACAGCAGCCAAGGGCACCAAGTAACACGCTGCCACTCACCAAGCATCTGGGGCACTGCTCCCTGCTCCGGCCCGTTTCCCAGGAGTCCCTCCTAGCTTATGGAGTAAAGCTGATGATGTGCTTGCAAGGGTTTGGAAATGTAAACGGAGCAGCACAAGCACAAGTCGCTTATAGTAATAATTAATGATCAATTAATAACAATAATGATAAAAGTAATTGCAAAAACACAGGCTAAGTAGCTGCCCTGAGGGCCCTGGCCCTGTTCTGGGAACAGAAGCTAATGAGCAGAGGTCCTTCTCCCCGAGGAAAGACACGTCTGGAGGAGCAGGAGCATCATTCTCTGCCCATCCAAGAGCTGCTGTCCATGGGCTCTGTGAGCTGGGGCAGGAGCCACCGCGGGTTTGTGTGGCCCGATCACCTTTTACGCAGCTTCTTTTGGGTTGCTCCTAATCCTGTGTTCTCAGCCCTGCTTCAGCCCCAGGGGAAAATAAGCTCAGCTCTTATCTGTCGGAGTCCACCATGCCTTCCAAGAGTTCCTAGTCTGTGGTCAACTGCGACTCTTCACTTAGCCAGTCAAGCCCCGCTAAGGGTTGGAAGGCAGCCTTCTGGGCAGGCGCTAGCGTGCTGGGTGCCAAAGGCAGCTGGAAAGGCAGCACGGGCCAATTGGTGACCCACATTCTGCTCCACCAGGTCGTTGTCCATGGGACAGCTGGTGGCTGACAGGTGTTGGCTTAAAAAGATCTTGTGGCAGTTTTGGGCCACTTAAGATTGCAGAGAGCGAAATGAATACCCTCATGTTTTCTCAGCTGGATCTGAGGTGAGTGCTTGGATAGATTCCCCAGGCAGAAGCCCAGCAGCCAGGGACTGCTCTGTGGCCATCAGTTAGCTGAGCCGCTGACCCCCTCGGGGCACACCCAGTCAAGAACACGTAAAACTCTTTCCTGTCAACTTTCCAAAGCACAGGTGTGTGACTGGGGCCACTATGTGAGGGAGGGACAGGACAGCAGAGCTGGAGGGCTTGTTCGTCACATCACAACAAGGCCTGCACGGCTACCAAGATATCAAGAGCACGTGGGCCTGAGGTGGAGCTTCTTTTGAAGACTCCAGCCACATCTCCACACCCGGGGTCTTTGCTGGGCACAGCCTTCTCTCTTTCCCCGCCTCTCCAGGCTGACATCCCTTCTCTTCTGACTGCTGATCACACTGCTCCTGGACCACGGCCTCGCGGTGCAGAGACACCCCAGGGAGGAGCAGGTTCGAAACACACCTTCTCAAATGCAAGAGCTGATGCGAGAGTGCTGTTTCAGAGCTCCTCCCGTCCCTCCCTCCAGGCTCTGCCTGGGTGTCTTCTGGCAAGGACAGAAATGACAGCAAATATACTTGGTCCTAAAAACCGGGAGGGGAGGGGCTCTTGAAACCAGACAAACAAAACCAAATGCCAAGAGAGAAAACAATTTTCAGACTATACAGAAACAACACCTCCTGGTGCAGGAATCTCAAGACCTGCTTGCACCAAAGAGATGTCCCCAGCTTTGGAGACCAGAGGCACCTGGGCGCTGTTGCTATGGAAGGAAGGTGGCTTCTGCCCAGGGCCCGCAGAACCAGCCTCTCACAGTGCCTCTACTTCAGCCTGCAGGCCTGCCCTCTGCCGTCTGCAAGCCTGAGACACTGCCCACTTCTTGGCTGAGATGAGCACCTGTACTTGCCAAAGACCCTCCTGGCCACGTCCTCTGTGGGGCGCCTCCCTGGGGCACAGCTGGGAACTCCCGTTCCTCCCAGCTGCAGCCCTCAGGACCTCCCACCCAAGCAGCTTCCCTCTACACCCACTTGACCCCTAGACAATGCCCCTTCTCAGGAGTGGTCTTGGAGGGAGGGAGAGGAGGAAGGGACAGTCTTCCCCACAGCCGCCCTGTGCTGAGAGCTCCCGAGGGCCTCGCGTCTCCCCTTCACACACACACACACACACACACACACACACACACACACACACACGCGCGCGCGCATGCACCAACGCAAGTGTTCACTGGCTACTTGCTCACTTGATAGGCAGGCTGGGAGCACCTCCCCTGGGCCAGGCCCTCTCAGTCAGAGTTCTGACTGCCCGCAGCTTAATTCTAGAGCAGGAGACAGAAAATCACCACACTAGAAAGCAGAGCACCTTGGGTGTGTTGGAAGGGGTGGGCATGGGAGGCCAGGAGCACAAGGCCGGGCTGCAGGAGGGCGGCTGGGAGGGCCATGCTGAAGGGCAGACTGGAAGGCAGCCCTGAAGCGAGAGCGGGAAGGAAGAGAGCTAGGGGAAGAGGGGTCCAGAAAGACAGGCAGCAGGTGCAGGGTGACGGAGGAGGTGGGGGGAGCGGGGGAGCATGGGGGGCCACCTCCTGAGGTCCTCACCCTCATGGCAGGCTCCCTTCTCCTCCACCACAGAGCATCTCCCTGGGACATGTCCGTCCCCTGTTGATCAGCCCTGGGGTAGCATGTGCTGCATCCACTGCTCCAGCCCCAGCCCAGAAAGTGCCTGAGACACAGGCACCAACACACATGGCTAGACAGCTCTGGGGAGAGCAGCCAACCCTGTCCCCTCCCTGGGGATGAGGAGAGGCAATCCATGCCCTGAGCCTCAAGGACTGTCCTGCAAAGGGAGAGCAGGTCCACTGCCAAGGAGAGGCTTGTCTAGGAGCCAGTGCCAGGTCCAGGAGTCTCCCCAGAAAACACATCACGACTCAGGGACCATCAGCTCAAATGACCTGGGGTTGACTGAGCAGCCTGAGCGCCTCAGGAGCCTGAACTTCCAGGGCCCTAAGTGGGGGCTTCCCAAGAGGCGGTGGCCTTACTTCCTGGATGGCCTGCATCCGGTTCGCTCTTTTGGGGAGGGGAAGCAACCTGATTTCTAGTTGCTTTTTGAATGGGAGTTTTACCTGAGGAGAGCCAGGGACCTCCCAAAAGGTCACACTTCCCTCTAATCTGACTGTTGGCAACGAGTTCTGTAGTCGGAATGGGAGAACTGGGCCTTAGAAACCCCCAGACTTGCCCCATTGAGTGGGGCTCAGGTGGGTGGAGGAGCAGAGCCAGGAATGAGGGCCGGAGCTCCCGTGCAGAGCTGAAGCCCCTGGCGCAGTGGGAACATGGTCCCTGTGAGACCAGGGGGCGATTCCTGGAGGCACCAAACCCAGGAGGACACAGGGAGAGAGGGGGGTGGTGGCTAATGAGCCCTGTCCTACATAAAGAGCATTTTGATTTTTTAAAAATACTCCATTAAAAATCCTTTGAGATTAATCTGTTAGTTCAGGAAAAGAAAACCCCCAAAGCACGTGTGTTGTGCTAAAAGAAAGGGTTAAAGGCAGGTGCCATAGAGGGAGGGAGGCAGGGCTTCCTTGGGACACACAGAGGCCCGTTCCTGGATGTGAGGCCTTCCTGCAGGCTTGTGGTCAGATCTGACCACCAAACTTCCCAACAGAGCCCGGCCATGACAGAAACCAGCGAGTCTCAGAGTGGGGGCAGGTGATTGTGCCACGTCCCACGGGCAGGGCAGGGTTCAAGGGACTTCAGGGCTGAGCAGGCAGGAGGGAGGCCACATCTGTGCTCTGAGAACCTGCTGTTCAGGAGGTCCCACGACTCGCTGCATGTCCCCACAGATTCTTGTCTGGGCAAAGCTGCCATCCTCCCTCCCCACCCCCCTCTCCCCCCAGTTTTTGTCACTTGGATGCCACTGAGGACCCTGCACTTAACTTACATTCCAGTCTATGGTAACAAAGAAGGGATGGCGTTTAATTTCCTCCACTCCATCAATGCCAGCTCCTGTCGTGACAAAGCAGAGACCAGCGTGAGAGAAGATCCAAGACCGCACGTCGCCTCCCAGCTCCCAGCGCTGCAGGCCGAGGGGCGCCTGGGTGGGCCTGACCACTCGTCCTGGGAAAGGAGTCCGCTGCTGCCCCAGCCCCAGCTCCTGCCCCACACTGCCAGCTCACCAGCCCCTGTCCCACACCCAGGGAGGCCTCATTCAGCTTTGAGGGCTGAGGACCTGGATGCAGCCTGGGTGCAGACCTGGAGGTGGCCCTGGGGCAGTGGGAGGAGAGGTGTTGAAGAGAAGGGGTCAGGTGAGCCTGAACTTTCTGCTGCAGGTGTGGGAATGCCCAACCCACAGGACAGGCAGCACCCACAGCTGTGGCCGCCCTTCCCACGTCCTGGAGTGCAGCCTCAGGGTGGCTTCAGACTGGGGAGCACCCCAGAGTCACAGCAGGCGGCTGCCGAGCACTGGCAAGGCTCTGGTGGGGCTTCACCAGGGAAGAATGCCAGGAAGAAAGAGGAGGTCAGGCAGGCCTGAGCTCGGGGGTGCTGAGCCCGGCCTCGTGCCCCTCCACCAACCTAGCCCCGCAGGTCCTGGCTGGAGGCTGCTGACAGCCTGTCTTTCCTCCTACCTGACTGCTTTCCTTATTTGCTCATATCAAAAGCCTATGGCCCTGGGAGGGGGGTAGGTGGGACACAGGGAGGGCTGCGGTGGTGCCCACGCATTCACCTGCACCCTTGCTGCTCACCAGGGACAGCCTGATGTCTGCCCTGGACTTGGAACCGCTGTGCATCCATATCTGCTCCTCAGCTACAACCAATGTGCCCAGCTGGCGTTGACATTAGGGGAATCTGGGTGGGGGGCCTCGCTGTACTTTCTGTTCAATTTTTCCATGAATGCAAAACTGCTCCAAAAACAAGGTCTATTAATTAAAGAATGAAAGCAACCCCCTAAGGCTCTAGGCACACTCTAGGATGCAAGGCCCAGGAGGGGCCCACTTCCTCCCCCGTCATGGGAAGGGAGGGGCATGGCCTGGGATGCTGGCCAGCTCCCATCCCGGGGGGAAGCGTGGCCCCTCCTTCTGCATGTGGGGCTTCTCTCTCTGCTGATCCTCCTAACGCTGCTCAGAATCCCCCTCAGCAGGGCCAGGTGAATCTTCTGCCCTGGAGGGTGGCTCCTTCTGGGGAACATTCAGGGAAGCCAAGGTGTCCAGCCTGTGAAGTCACGGGCCTTCCCACAGAATGCCAATCACTGGAAATGGCACCATGGCAGGGAGGGAGGTAGCCCTGAGGCCATCTAGCTCCTGCTGGAGGCAGTGACATGGACAGAGCCTCAGCAAGTCTCATAGACAGTGGCTCAGGGCTACCTCTCACTCTCCCCTGGAGCCTGGCCAGGCCTTGTGCTTAGAAAGTGCCAACTCAGCCAAACGCACTGTATGGTATTCTCTGCCACTCAGCCTGGCATTGTTGGGTAGCAGTCATGTGGGGGAAGCACCAGCAGGCTTCAGGCTTGGGGCTGCTCTGTGCCACACACTGTAGCCTACATGCCAGCATGCCTGCTCTCTGCCATGGGCAGACACAGCACACGTGCATCCCGTTCCCTCCACACACGCCCAGGGGCTCCTGCACAGACAAGGACACTGAGGCCGTGAGTGCCAGGTCGTTATTGCTGTGTTTGCAGAGACGGGATTTGAAGGTGCAGCTGCCAAACTTAGCCTAGGGGTCCCCCTCCTGGGACTCTGCCCTGGTCCCATCTGGACCTTGCCTCAGATGACCCCCCTGCTGAGGTCCATTTGAGTCTGTCTCCTTTCTTCGGTCATAATTCCCAAGCCCAGAGGTCTGACTGTGTTATCCCTGAGCACAGTCCTCGATGGGTGTTCAAAGGATGCTGGAATACCTTCCCAAAGGGCCTGACTTCCAAGGCTGTCCCGTGTGCCCATCCCTAGGCCTCTGGTGGAATCCAGAACTCCAGATGGAACAATCTGGCAGTGAGCAAGAGGAAGGGTGCCTCCGACTCCCGTCTCCCAGGTCTTGGCAAGTGTTGGCTGTGTTGCTGGGTGCCCCAGGCACTTCCCCAGGAGCTGGGCACGCATACTGCACCGTGACTCATGCCTCCATTTAAGAATCTGCTGCACACTGGGCACCCACTGCATCCCACTGTCACCCACCACTGGCTGTATGATCTGCAGGAGGATGAGTTAGGGTGCAGGAGGGGCAGGAATTGGAGAATCGGGGTGCTGGGTGCTCTTGGGTCACCAGCCAGCAGGCCTTCACTGGCACCCTCTTGCCTCGGCACAGGTAGGACTTGGCCTCAGCAGAGAGGAAGGTGAATTAACACTGATTATCACTCAGAAATGACAAGTGATGGAGTGTATCAGCCTGGAAGCCGCGCAGGCCTTCTGAGGGCCAAGGTGCCTGTCACTGTGCATTCCAGCATTACATCCTCTCTCCTGCAAAACTGTGAACCCGTTCTTTTGGACTGGGGAGCACTTTATTTGGACAGCACACCCTGACAAAGGCAAGGAGGGAGCAGAGTCCCGGCTGGGGAACAAGACAGGTCTGTGCTGATGTCTGACACCAGGCCCCCAGAAGCCTGCTTTGTCCCAGCACATCTGCGACTCACCCCCATCACGGAAGACCTCAAGACCTGGAACTCAGGGACAGAGATGTCACTCCTGGTAGACTTGGTGATTTTACATTGTGATTCTACATTGAGTTTCCAGCCCAAGCACACATGAATCAAAAGTTCCTGGGAAAATGGACTCAAGAATCCAGACTCACATTCTTCAACAGTGACAAAGACATATGCTCCTGTCACTGGGGCTCGGTTTCCATGCCAAGAGACCCTGTGGCCGTCCACTTGCTCCCTAGCCTTGATTTCTTCATGGGGGATGTGGGTGTGATACACATAACAAAGACATGCTGCTCTGCTTGTGAAGAATTCATTCCTTCACCGCTCTCTGTTCAGCTGCACCCCTCGTAACACAGCAATCTACTCATTTCACTGTGGGCTTCTAAGCGCTCAGTAGGCTATCCCCAAAAGGTTTTGATATAAAACAAAAATACACTCATAGTTTTCTAACATCTGCAGATAGCTCTGGGGAGTGTTAATTCCTGGTCCTTTGCCATGCTCACACCTTGTTGTTATAGGATCACACAAGATCCACCTCTAATCCTTTTGGGAACGTTCAGAACTAGTGGCCTGATGCGCATATTGCTGCTGCCTGCTTTCCCTGACTGGCAGACTGTAAACATCCCAGGGGACTCCAGAATTGATCTGGAGTTATGCTTTTTTTTTTTTGCTTTTTAAATACTATTTTATTTGTGTGTGTGTGTGGGACTGGGGAATGAACCCAGGGCCTCACACATGCTGGCAAGTGTCTACCCCTGAGCTCTTCCCTGGCCCCTGCTTTTTTATTTCTTAATTGCTTATGGGTTAGCTGAGCTTCACCTCTTTAGTTTGGAAGTATTTAATTTTGAAGTGTCTTCTGCCCACTGGAAATTTATTATTCAGTGTTTACAGTCCTCCTCTGACCGTCACTGTGTCCCATGGAGTGCTGCTGGCAGGAGCCAGGGCAGGTGGCATGCACAGATCTCACCAGCCCCGGCCCACTGGGGTTCTCCAGGGATCTGACCAGCTTCAGTAAGGGGCTGGAGCCATTTGCATGGTTTTGAGCTTGTGCTCTGAGACCACCAGTGTCCTCACAGAGCAGCCCTGCTGGCCCCCCCCTGCTCACAGCAGTGGCATTGGGGCTACCTGCCTGTTTTGCACATGGCTCTGTAACTGCGCTTGGCCCTGATGTGTAGCAGGCATGTCTCATGTTCAGACTCTTGCAGCTGCTGTGCCTTCGTGCTGTATCCCTGTTGAGTAAGTCTCAGAAGTGTCGCCTATCACCAGCAACAGAAAATGAGAAGAACAAGCAGGTCCCCTGTCTTCTCACCTCAGGGTCTTGTGTATGGAGGCCACACACCATTCCCTTCTTCTTTCATCTTTTCTTCTAGAAAACTCTGGCCTCCACTTCCCCTCCCCAGCCCCTGCTGTACTCCTGTGCTTTGGCCTGGGCTCCTGTGTGCTTCTTGATTCCTGAAGCCTTTGTTTATCGTCCTAAAAGTCCAGAAGAAGGAGAATCATCCTTAGCCCCAGCCTGCTCCAAGCCTGGGGCCCGTGACAGTGTGGCTCGCTGGATCACATGTCACACCTCTGTTGAGGGTCCTCAGCGTCTGGGGTGTGATGAGGAAGGGGTGGGGCAGAGGTGGAGGCAGGGGGGTCTGGACCACAGTGGGTGGCAGTGTGTTGGGGCTCAGAAACTATACCCTGTGAAACCTCGGGGCGGGGTCCTCTCTGACCTTGGCTCTGCTGTCACTCTCCCAACCCCTCATCCCAAAGCCAGCCCCAGAAACTGGAATTCCTCTTCTCCAAGGAGGGGCCGAGAAACCAGAGCCCCTCTTCTCCAAAGCCAGCCGTAAACTTTCCTCATCATCTAACCTCTGCCCACTTCTGTGGAGGGGCTAGCCATAGAGAAACCCTCCGATCCTCCGATCCGCATTGCGGGACCCGTGCTCCAGAGCGGAGAGCACCAGGCCCAGGAGACTCGCCCAGAAACCCTCGCCAGGCTGTCACATCAGCTCACGCCTTGTCCAGTTGGTGGGTCACCCTTCAACGTCTCCAGCTCGTCCCTCCGGGCTCCTGGCGTGGAAAGCTGTGATTAAGCAAGTCAGCTGCACGCTCTTGCTAGCTTATCTGTGTTACAGGTGTCGCCCTGAATCAGGATGGGCAGGAGGCGTCCCTTCCCGCCCCTGCACAGCCACGTTCTGCCAGCTGCCCACAGTGAGCCTGAGCCTGGGACAGTCTCTGTGCAGCAAATGCTTCCCTTCAAAACCGCTTTGTAAAAACTAGTCAGTTAAACCATAAAAGCAGTACATACAGTTTAAAAGTCCAATTGTCGAGGTGCTGGAGTGAGCAGGGAGCTCCTTTCCTGTCCTACCCACCCTAGACCCCCTCGTTCGCGATT